CCTCATGGTCAAGGATAATAACAGGGTGACAACATAGGTCCTGTTCCACCTTCCCTTGGCTGGTGGAAATAAGACCCGATCCCCATCCTTCAAATTCTAACCATGGATTCAGTATCCCACAGTTACTGCTGTGGACAGCTCTATAATATATCATCAGTATTTTACCTGTCACTGCCATCTCCCCTCCCCCCTCTCCACTGTTTAAGTTTCTTGACCTTTTGCTGGCAACAAAAGCCTTCTATCTTCTCCACGTTCCTCTCTCTCCCTCTCCCAGTCTCTCTGTCTGTCTCTCCCTCCCCCGAGTATTATTCGATATATTTTTAATTTTACTGGGAGGAGATGTCACTGCACCCTGAGAAAGCAATATTGGTCATTTGGTTCATGGTTGATTCTTCAATATTGCTTCATTTAGCTAGTCTAGCTGGCATATCCAGCCCATTTTTGAGCAGTAAAAAGTTACACACATCCAAGGATGAGAATCTACAGTCTCTTCTTCCACCACACTTCACTTCTAGATTAAATGCCATTTGACTATAGAGACTTGTATATGCAACCTAACTCACTATTTAGGATGTGGAACAAATTGAAATAGTGTTATTGGCTCCATCCAACATATAGTAGGAAAAATCAACAGTATGATACCTCTTTATCTCATCAATTTCGAATGTTCCGACTTTAGACATCTTCCTTTTGTTTGAACCGGTGCCAATGGATGAAAAATGACTTCTGAATGCTAGCCATCTTTTTCTTACATGGCTTACTTTCTGATATTCATATTCTGAAAAAGAATGTGAATTGTCCTCTTCTCACATTTATCTTCTTGCAGGCTCTTCTTAATGTTGCAACGGTTCCCTGTAGAATCAAAAGGACGGCGTAAGAAACTGCAGGAGGTGATCTTTTCATTTATTTTATATATATGGATTGTGCTATCTGTAATCTATTTTATTTTCAATTGTTTTAATCTGCTTCTGGCTTGGCAGGTTGGTTATGTGACTACCATTTGCTTCTCATGTTTCCTCATCAGATGCATTATGGTTAGTTTGTTATGATATTCTTTACTGTCTATATCAACATCTACGTTAAGTATACTAAAATAAGTTACCTGCATTAAAAAGTGAACAATAGATGGTTAGATCTTGGTAAATTACTTTCAAATGGAAACATAGTAATCAATGAACCTACGACTTGTTTTGAAATTTACTGTTTAAAGTTGATAAAGTGAGTCTTTGCCTAGTGAATTGCGGGCTCAAGGTTCCATTTCTTCTTTATCCTATGTTCATCTAATTAAGATTTAATTGTTGTTTATGCTCTAGATGTGCTTTAATGCATTTGATAAAGCTGCAAATCTTGATGTATTGGACCATCCAGTTCTGAACTTCATATATTACCTGGTAAGTTCTCCTCGATGGATGTATGATATTTCATTGGAAAACAAATCTCTTGTACATTTTAATTGTGAGATAGTTGAAGGATTAAGCCTAGTTTTTGATTGTTGCCTTTTCTCCTATTAACAAATTTCCTTCTTAAAACTTACTGCTCTTCTGTTGAAATAAAGTCAATAATTTCTTAATAATGAAGGTTTCTTTTTACACATGGAAAATCTAGTTGAGTCAAAACTTCTACGCGAATTGTGGGTAACAATGTGAATGACAATCTGGGTCTTGTTTGGACGCTCAGTTAAAGTGCCGTGTGTGTGACAAAACACTGCTGGTGGCCTATGATTGGGCGTTTTATAGAGAGTATCAAACTAAGATCTTCCTGTTATTAGCCATGTGATGGCAATTGCAGCATAGAATGTCAAAAATCTAATTTTTTAACCAATACACCGATGACCATACCATACATGTTAGCCATACTAATCTTCAAACACGTTCTGAGAATATTTTTGTTTGCTCCAGCTTTTGGAAGTGGCAGCTTTGATGTGTCAATTGATTAAATTTGTGGCATTAGTCATAACCTACCATTTTTTCTCGTGGAACTCTAAAATTGTTCATGACTCCTGTTTTAAAGCCTTCTTAGATTCAGAAGGCTAAGAATATCAATTTCTTTTATTGTCTTGTTTATATTTTTCCCTCTTATGACAAGCTTTTTCCTCTCCTTGCAGTTGGTTGAGATATTGCCCTCTTCTTTGGTCCTCTTCATTTTGAGGAAGCTGCCACCAAAACGAGGTATCACACAATATCATCCCATACGCTGATCCAAGCTATATACAGCAAATGCAGTGAAAACAAATGATGCTTTCACTTGAAGCATGTTCATCTACCCGTAAGGGAGAACAAACACAATGGGGAGATATAAGTTGACCATTTTGTGTTTGCAGTCAGGCATGGATTCTGAATTGTCAAAATTTCTGTAATTGGTGTTTGTAGATTTGTTGGAAAATACATCAACCTATTACATCTATTGTTGTTTGTATGTGTTGCGGTTTTTGCATTTAGCGTTTCCTTATGGTTCTGCATTAGAAAATGACTCTTCTTTTGAAGGAAAAATAATTGTTGTATGGTTAGGAAAAGAAAGTAGAGATCATACACTTTCGGCTAAATATCATCTAATTATTTGTTTATACGAGCAAGGCATGATGCTTCTTGATGGGAAATTTGTATTAGAATACAGAGGAATTTCTACTGATACCATAACATGGTAAGTGTCATGCATTTATAATTTTGGAATCTTGATAAATCAAATATTGTGTAGAGATTTCAAGCAAATTTGAAGAATACAATCTAGGATTTCAGTTGCCTTACCTGGTATCATGGGACTTACCTGGGTACGGTTTGTTGAGCAAGAACTTGGCTAAAATATCCATCCTTTGGGATCTGGCAAACTGAATGAGCAGCTGAATTTTTCACAATGATTGAGTGAGGAGATCTTCTGGAGCTTTCTTCTGTTGTATCTTCTTTTTGGGGGTAGTCTTTTGTTGTTTGTACAAGCAATATGATTACTTTTCTCAGGGGGGAGAAAGTTGACTGAGCAGCTAACAACCATTCCTACGAACTCTTCTACCAGTCTAATCTAATTGTCAAAAACACTCAGCTTCTTGGTTTTTAGCTTTTTCTTTTAGATAGCTTTTGTACCATTTTTCTGTCTTCTGTGAAATGGCGGTAAATAATTTTAATGGACGACTCTGTTTCTTCTCAAACTTGGCAGATCAAGAATTTAACTATACTTTATAATTCTGAAAAGACAGAGCTCCTTCCTGTTCTTTTTGTAATTTTTCTTTTTTCCATTTTTCATTTTTCATTTGCCCTCTGCTTTTCACTTGATTTAAATTGATAGGCTTGAGCTTGTCAGCCCAGTTTACACCAGGTACTTCTGCGGAACCAGCTGCAGTGGGATTCTAATCCATCTCCATCTTTCGCCTTAATTCGTGTTTTACCCATTTAAAGAAATATAAGACTCAAGTTTTTTAAAGCTTAGAAAAAAAGGGTTAAAAAGAGCCTAGGAGAGATTATCAAATTTCAGTAATATAGAAAATTTTGAAAAGGCATAATCAATTTCACTAAACCCTAATGGATTTTAAATTTTTTCCTACCTTCAACTATCGAAAGACACTGTAAGTTCAAGCAGTTTTATCATCATTATTTTAAATTTATATTTCTCAATGAGGTTATAAATAAAATATTATTTTAATTATATTATTAATCTTGTTATGTTTGTATTATATATTAGTTGTGTTTTTTTTCTTCTAATTCAATTAAAGGTTGTGATAATTAGTTTAGTATAAGATATTTTTAGTAATTATTGTTTTTCAGTATTTTAGTGGTGAGATCACTACAAATATATAATCTAGCGGGTTATAAAATAGACATTTAAGTTTAATAGACCTTCTATTGTTCTTTAATGAATTTATCAAATGTTTATAACATTGGTGAATACTAGTGAAACTCTAACAAATTTTAAGTTACTTGTCTAACATAGCTATTATAAAAGCACACTAGAAGCTCAAATAAGATGAAATGAATTTTTGCTCACAAACGATGCTAACTATTAGCTTGAACAAGATCAAGTAAATTTATATCTTTATCATGCATCAATTTCACCTCTCAAATTTTTATAGGCTTATCAAATCTCTTAAATTGGAGTCAAAATGAGAAATTTATACTTAAAATATAAGGATAAATTTATTGCAATATTAATTAAAAATTTAAAAGATCACAATTATACTACTTGAGATCTAAAGAAGCAGCAACAAGAACCCTTTTAGGTCCCAAAAACGTGTTTTGATCCTAAGACAATCTTTACATATTAGTACCTGTCTGTAGGTTTTAAAACAATCCTACAAAATGCTACTTCAAAGTATATATTTACTTTTACATAGGGAGTTGTATCATAACAATATAAATTTCAAAAATATGTTGTCTTGTCTATAACTAAAACCGAATATATTATAGCAATTGAAGATTGTAAGGAATTACTATGGTTAAATAGGTTTATTCAAGAATTGTGTTTGAGGCAAAATGAATATGTAATTAACTATGATAGTTATGATACTCTAAATTTGAGTAAAAATTTTACATATCGTTGTCGTACTAAACATATTGATGTGAGATATTATTGATTTCGTGAAGTAGTAAACAATCATGAAGCATTGGTAAAGAAGATTCATACTGATAAAAAAGTTAAGCAAATATATTAATAAATATGGTGATTCGGGACAAACACGAGTTCTATGACAAGGTGACATGATTAAGCTTTTAGTGATTGTTAAGGAACATGCATTCTCTCCATTGGTTGAAAGGAAGATTGTTAAGTGGGTCCATCTTATATTACATGAAAGGACTCTCTCTCTCTCTATATATATATATATACAGGAGTTGGTGTCTTTTTAAAATTTTGTATGTGTGTGTTTGTGTAGGAGGACTAGGAATCCTAAATCGAATAGAAAAAAAATCATATAAAGGGAGAGACTTGAGTTGCATGAGAAAAACATAGAACAAGAAAAAAAAAAGGTTGCAACACTTGGAAAAAAAAAAGAGCAAAGAATTTCTTTTCGATGCGCAAAAATGAAATTAAAAAAGTTAAAATTCTTTTATTCTTCGATTAAATTTTTTGATATTTTTATTCAAAAATATTTAAAAAGTTATTTTTTAGTATTTATCTACGAACAGGGAGATTTAAAGGGTATTTATCTAAAGGGATATGTGGATACTTATTGATTATAGAATTAAAATTTGTAGTTATTGTAATGTGAACTCACTTAACTAGTGCACTGTTCGAACACGTACTATAGCAATAAATTTGGATATCGTCCTATGAGAATTAATATAGCAATTATTAAAATCACAACTAATTGATATTATTTGGCCAACGATTAAGAGAATAAGTATAAATTAAAACTTAATAAGAACAAAAAAAATAATGAACTAGGATTAATTAATAATCAAGATATAATGACAATTAAGATCTTAGAATCCATCATAAGTTCAACTATGAATTTTCTTAATTCAATCTATAACCAGAACTTTCCTCTAGTATCATTCAATCATGTAGTAATCTCTTTCTCAAGATCAATTACCCTACCTACTTCATAATAACACACATATCTCTATGCATTAGTATGAATCGGTGTATTAACATTTAATCATTAAATATATAGATCATACCAAGTATCTCTACTCACATTCAATCTATTATACTAACTTGATATTCTAATGAATAATCAACCTCTCAATCCAATTATTCATCATAAATCAATAAATAGATGATCAATCTATTTATGCATTAATCTACAAGATAACACATAGGGATTGGAGAAAAAGTCTTTCATAGATTATATAAAGAAATTATAAAATATTCCTTAAGGTTTCATCAAAGATCCCAACAGAAAAGTTTAGTTACACATCCTAAATAAAATCACAAGAGTGAAATCTAAAGGAAATATAAAACGCTTAAGAATAATCGACTAGAAGAAGTTCTTGATTTCTGCAACCGTCTTCTGTTTTCTCCTCCTCCAGTCTTTTTTTTTTTTAGGTAATTCCCCTTTTATATAGTTCCAGACCTAATACTCTGACAAAATCCAAATATCACCTGACACATCCCACAACCACGTTAAATTGGTACACAGCCGTGTCTTCCTTGAAATTATGTTAATTTTTAACTTTTAGACACGACATAGCTGTGTCTCTCAGACACACGGCCGTGACTCCCAAACCCACGACCATGTCTTTTCACTAAGCGAAACAGAAATGTTGCATCTTAACACATGGCCGTGTGTTAACTAGTATAAGGCACACGGTTGTGTGTTATCATAGCATAAGGTACACGGTCGTGTCTTCCAAGAACATGGTCGTGTCTCGCTCCTCCTCAGAAACAGAAACGTTGGCTTCTTAACATAAGGTCGTGTGTTAACCCGATAAAAGGCACACAGCTATGTCTTTCAGGAATATGGTCATGTCTCACTCCTCCTCAAAAACAGAAACGCTAGCACCTTAACACATGGTTGTGTGTTATGGTGATGTCTCCCACATCTTCATGTTTTAATTCTTTTTTCCGGAATCTTATTCCAATTCACTCTAATTTGCTTCCAAGTCCTAAAAATCATTCATGAAAAGTGTCATTCGTAATATCCAAATTTTATAACCCAAAACATAATCAAAATTAATTGGCAAAAGAGTAGGCATACATGCAACTTTGTTTTTACTTTTTTTAAGCACCGTATTAGTTATCCGAAATATCAATCAAACTTTTTATACAAGTGCAGACATTGTGATGTCAGCCTCCAGTTACTCAGTTGGTCATACTTTCGAATGGCCACTAGATCTACTCATAACCACCATTTTATTTTTCGAGCTAGATCAGTCCACTAAGGAGTAAACTCTCCTTACCAAAGGCAGCTGCATTCCCAGGGCTCAAACTAGAGACCTCTGGTTAAGCTAGCATAGTGCTGAACTGCTAAGCTATGCCCATTGGTGGTGTAAAATTGAGTGATCAGATGAGCATTTTATTTTTATTTTTTCTTTTTGCATACATATATATCTAATTCTATATCAAAATACGCTTTCTTTTATAAATAGTTTTTTAGTTTAAACAAAAGAATGAATTTTACGAATCAAAAATGTAGAAATTCCAAACTCTTAAACTTGGAAAACTAACTAAGGTCAAATACTTCCATTGCTAACTATTTCCACAAACAATCTTATCCCAATATATGTAGATTCAATTTCATAATTATCATCATAGGTAGTCATGACACAACAGAACACATCAAAATCAAACCATGAAACTTCATTAAGATTTGGAGGATAATTAACAAATATAAGAAATTAGAATACCACTTCCCTACACTTAAATGCGACAATGTCCCCATAGTTCGTAAAGTAGAAAAATGAAAACAATGACGACAAAAAAACGAAACTTTCTTGAAATTTCGAGGGAGTAGGATCCACCTTGCCTTGGTGAAGTTTGTGAAAAACCTAAGAACATACTGACAAATACTAAAGGAAAACTAAGCAAACAAGTTTATGGTAAAGGAGAGAAGGGAACTAAGAGATATAAAAGGCAAAGATATACTAAAAAATAAACATAAAAAATGAAAATAAAAAAATACAAAAGTGAGACTAACTATATAAAGGTGGGTAGGGTGGAGGCTAAAA